GATGCTTCTTACTTTAAAATCTTTCGCTTAATTCGATTGTTTTGATTTTACGTTACACCTGATCCTTCGATATAATTAGCAAAAAATGTAATGGCAAACTTGTTGACCCTCGCTAAAAATCACGTACCGGAAAAAATCTTGTGGGTGAGCTACTATTAATGCCAATGGGTATATACATCACGTGAATTTATTGTTAACGCCACAGTAATCGCGTTATTTAACTTAAATTATTTTATAAAAGTTATGAACGCGCCAAAGAGATGCTTGAGCTGGTGCCTTATCCTGACGATTACCCTGAAAGATCGTATTAATAATACTGGTGTTAAGCAACAAAGATCCACTTTGATGCATAAAGATTCTACAGGTGTTAATGATAGAAGTAAAAACACCACTTTAATGAATTATATTCCTGATGCTTTGAATCATGATGTGAAATATCTTGTAAATTGATGTTAAACACCTTAAACAAGATAAGTAACAAATGGGTCATGTTTTACGAATAGTTAGATGTATGTATTATTATTATTATTCATTCTTAATATTTGATGTATAATTGTTTATTCTATTTAATAGAAAGAGTGAGAAGCATTTACCAATAATAGTCATAACTTGCTCTCTTTGTGTCTTATTTATTATTAATAGAAATTCTTTGCGTGGAAATACATGTTTTCAATAAAGTGTATGTACTGCTTTTTTCTAGCCTTTCTATACATTTTGAGTTTCAGAGAAGAGGTGAAAGAATAACATATAAAAGAGTATTTTGATTCGTTTTGTATATTTTTTTCTTATATTGTTTTTTTTATATTTTTAAATCATATCTTTAACAAGTAAAATTGATTTATCAAACAGATCTTTGTGTAACTTTTTAAGAAAAGTGCCTTTAAAACAACTTACCATCTCTAGAATTCTCTATGAACATTGAAATTATTTTCAAATTCAAACAGAAGATCCAGACTGTGAAAATCTCATGAGGTTATTGCAGAAAGTGGAGCAAGAAAATATTGGTCATGAATATAAACAACATATTAAGTTGTTACAAGATAGTGAAAAGATATGAATAAAAATTGCAATATCTGTCTTAGTGATGGGTTTCATGTATGCGCATGATTGGGATTTTATATGCATTTATGTACATGTTTTTGAATCATACACATTTTATTCTATCAAAAATTTATATAGAAAAATTAAATAGAAAATAAGTATGAATAACTTTTTAAAAATATTGTAAAAAGTCTTGTAAAATATAGAAATATTAGGTTGATCTGATCTGGATTTTATTTTAAGAATTGATGATCCAATATAACTGTAATTAGAATTATTATTCCATAGTGCAATTGCAGATCTGATCTATAACTTGATCAAAGATCTAAACGGATATAGTATTGTGAAACATGTATATCGTAAAACTGTATATAAATATTGGTTTTGTATATATATATAAATTGGAGGTTTTTTTAGGGTGTGGCAACCTAGTGAAGTAGTCAGATTGTCAACTCTCCAAGTGATAGGTTGGGTGTTCAAATCCTATCGATGGTGAAAATTTGGATAATCACCTATGTAATCTGATATTATAGAAACTGTTCCTAATGATTGGGTTAAGATACCTGTAATTATGGTTGCATCAGCATGTCTAGCAGGTCATGGGGCATCTGTGTAACTTGTTATACAGAAGAATGCAAACTGACAAATCAAATGGTGCAAACTCAAAATAAGTCCTTGTAGTCATATAAATCTGTAGAAATTGAGAAACAAGAAGCCTATTTGAGAAGACTCGAGTAGAGAGGTAATATAGATCTTTGACAGTACCACTGTAAAGGCTAGACCTAAGAAACAGATATCAATGCTAAAGTAGTCGAATGGGCAAGAACCTCTAGGTTAGAAGTCTTAGAGGTACTACCGACCAGGTCACTGGATCAGACCAGAAGAAAACGATATCAGGCTGACCTGATATACCAATAGACTAGTCATAGTTCTATATGGGCTATCTGAATTGGGAGTTTGGTAAAAGAAGCAGGGGTATACTAAAGTACTAAAGATATGCTGTGAAGTAGGTACTGGAGTCAGTGTGAACTCTACAAGGACATAGCAGTTTAACGGTTAGTCCTGGCTGCAAGTGTTGGTTCTACCATAGTACTATCTGAGTTAGCTGCAAAAATAGATAAACAGCAGGCTTCAAAAGGTTTATCTCGAAGATAACTATCCTAAAGTTGAGATGAAAGTTTTAGACTTGACCTAATAAAGTAATATGAGATAGGTTTAAAGAATTTAAATAGAACATCCAAGCAGGGATATTAGGTATAGCAATTGGTAGAGAATATTAGGCAGACTTTTTAAATAGGTAATATAGAAAGTTACATGAGTGGCTAATTGTACGCTCTTCCTGTAGTAGCTCCTTATAGAACTACATTCCTAAAAATATGTTAAAAAAGTTGAAAGACCAAAGAAATCACCTTAACACTGAAAAAAAAAATTAGAGGTTTTTTTAAGATATTTTATTTTAGTTTTGTAAATAAAATGACACAAAATCCAGGTTCAATTTACACTTATTATACTGATCTTAGTACAGTTTCTTTTTTTAAATAACCAAGAATTAAATGCAACTTTTGTTCTTATACTTACAATAAAGCTCTTAATAGATATGAATCTTATTTAAAAAATTATACTAAAATTGATAATAAAAGTTATTAATCATATTTTAATAGTCCTAAAATAAATTTTTCATATATTGCTTCTCAATTAATAGTAAATACTTCAAAAAAAACATTACAAAATGCAAATATTAAAAAAATTTTTAATCATATTATAACAAATGAGAAAAATTATCTTGAATTAGGTTTTGCAAAAGTTGTTTTTCAATGTGGTCTTCCTTTTTTATTTTATGAACTAGTTCCAATTCAAACCTGGATTAAAGGATTAAAATTTTTATTTAAATTACCTACAAGAAAAAAAATGTCCAATCAATTATTAGAAACTATTTATAATAAACTAAATTAAAAGTAGATAAAAGTATTGAAGATGCTGATTTTATAACATTGATTTGTAATAGATGGTTAGTAAATTTTTAAATATTAAATTTAAATTACATTATCAATTAATATATATAGTAAAACACTATAGGTACTAGGGTTCTGTAATTTGATTTGATTTGATTTAATTTGATCAAATATTTGAGTTCAAATCAAATTTAAATCTGAAATTTTCAAATCAAATCAAATTTAAATATGATCAAATTTAATTTGATTTAATAAATATTTAATTTAATTTAAAAATTTAT